AAAAAAAAAAAAAAAAAACTTTCAATATGCCAGGAAACTCGGAGAGAAGGCATCTAAATGTTTAAGACATTATATAAGTAAGGTTCTGGAAAACTGAAGTTTGTTGACTTGCAATGAATACTTAAAAGTTACCAAACATTAAAAAAAAAAAAATGTATAGTATCCAATACTTCCCAGAATACAATGCTTCTGTCATCTTACCTGTTCAGAAGTGTTTTCCCTCCTGCTTACCCTATCATAGCAATCTAAATAATAATGCCTCAGTTGACAGACAACAGTTGTTTAGCCCATATATATGCCACTTTTGATAAATTTATATAAGTAATTAGTAACTGGTTAAAATATTTTATTTCACATGGTCCTAGCTTACTTGGCTTTTAATAAGATATGACATGTTGAGCTCCAGTGTAAGATATTTTACCAAATGTTTAGAAAATAAAAATGCATCATCATACAAGGTTTTGGGAAACATTTTATTGCTAAGCATATCCTTGAACGAAAATGCAAATATGAAATCAAAGAGAAAGGAAAAAGAAAAAGCAGTAACTTCACAACATCATAAAATAAATTCCTTAAGAGTCTGCTCATAAAACAACAGGAATATGATAGCTCACATACAGAATGCACATGTTCCCATAAAATTGTCCAAATAGAAACTTACACTAAAAGGAATATAACAAATGTATTTTTACTCAAAAAAAAAAAATGTAAAGAAAGCAGGAAATCGGTTCACAAGACCTCAAGACTCCAAAAACAGCAATCTTTTACAGACATCGAGATATAATCAACTTCATACAGGTTGGGCCATTTAAGTTATCTAAAATCGTGCTTTGATATCTCTTCATAATCCTGTCTTTTTTAATGACAACAAAAAAATCCAAAACTCATAACACACTGAAGTATCAGATAATGAGGAACACCTCTTTCCATACACATTTGTCAAGGCTACCATCATTTAGATCACGCTTTTTGCCCCATGTCTTTAAGATATTTCTCAAAGTCAAATATTCATGCAACTTACAAAGACCAGCAAGAGTAGATTTCTAAATCTAAACAGCTGATTGGTTTTCATCTATACAAAAGAAATTGTATATATCCGGCCCTCCAGAAGACATCATTTTTGTGTGAATATTTGTCTTGCTTTGTCTCTTGCTTTTTGGATTAGCTATGGCCACACAACCAGTTTGTTTTTCTGTACATTTGTTTCCTCTTTTCAAAAAGAAAGACAACTGGAATATAAACCAAACAAACCGAAACAAACCCATAGAAAGGAAAGAACAGTTCTTAAAGCAGTATGTACATAGGTGGCTAAGGGATTATACCAGCAAAAATGTAGTAAAATATGTAAACAAAATCTGAGAAGATTGTTTATTCTCTTTGACACAGTTAACTGTGACAAAACTAAAACTCACACTTTCTTCACATTTTAAGGTTTACTTTTTTGTTGTTTTGTTATTTTCTTTTAAAACAACATTCTCATTCCACTTCAAGACTTTAACAGTTTTCCTGTTTCAGTCATCCCATCAAACATACCATGATAAATATATCTGTATATATATTTATTTATATATATTATACTATTAAATTCCTTTTTTGTGTGTGTCACAGCAGCTTTATTAATTTATTATTTATTTATTTGTTTTTAGAAAAGATGGGTGAAGGGAGATGTGAGCAAATGGAAGGACAGAGTTATCCATAAATGTCAGGCTACAAAATTAAACCACTATGAAAAACATCATGTTGGGGGCGGGGGAAGAACTATGTATTTTGCACTCTGTCATGCCATGTTTGGCTTGTGTGACCTTTTGTGGATCCATCACACGTTGAACTCCCCTACTGTCTGTTTTGATTCTTTCACAGACTTTTAGTATTGTCTTGTCTTTTATTATGTGCATGCATTTCAGTCAGTCACAGATCCAGCCCACCCCCTCTTTACCTTCCCTCGGAAAGGCTCTGTTTTTAGTTTGTGGGACTTTCTCCTTTACCACAATTTGGCTGGGCTAATGAACAGGAACAATATTGTTAAGTCAAGCCAATAGCTCTGATAAAACCAGCCCTAAACCCATCTGGTCAGAGTTTGGGTGGCAGATTCTGAAATTAGATCCTGAGGGACCAGCTTTTCAAATCAATGCTATTATCCATCCTGTGATTTTTGCTATGTGTTCAGCAAAGCATCATATAGGAAACAAACAACAGATTCTAGAAATACCACAACCTGATATGTAGAGTGAACACCATGGTAGCTTTTGAGTTCATATGGCAATAGTCTCTCTTACTTTCGTTTTCTGAGTTTTGTTTGTTTGTTTTTTCTTCTTATGTCCATTCTCAAAAAATAAACAAAAACCCAAAAGCCATTTTTTTTTCCCCTCAGATCTTGAAAAGTTACACGTACACTGGCCAAAACCAGATAAGGGTGGGTTTTTTTTTTGTTTTTGCGTTTCATTTTTTTCATTTTTTTTGTTTTTGTTTTTTACATAATTAAAAGAAAAGAAAAAAGAAAACATTGTTACAGTCAAGCTTCACAAACATCATTACAGACTCACTTGGAGTTATGGAACAAGTAAGCCGCGAAGTCTTCTACCTTGGGTGAAAAGTCCTCAAGAGAAGGAAGCTTCCAAGTCCGTGGAAGTGGGGGGAGCCATCTGCTTGCTCCAGAGCGCAAAGTGTGTGCTTTATGATACAGCAGGGCAGAGAGAATGTTCTGTCTCCGAGCGATGACTGAATCAAAGCAGCCATGGCTGAACTTTACAGGTAGGTACATCTTTGTGTGTGTCCTTTTAAAAATGGTTTTCCCCACCATAGTCATGGTGCACCCCATCTCGTAGCAATAGCAGTTCTGACGCCTGTGAAATCTCATTTGCCAAGTATTTATAGATTTACAGAGAAATAATTCTGTGTCCTAAATTCACGTGATTATTAGCGGCGTCGTTTTTACACATAATACTCCTTGTCCTTGTTTTTCTGTTTCTTGTGGCCGCTCTTGGCGCTCTGCTGCTTCTCCTTGATGAGCGTGCCATTGCTCTGGGCCGAGTTGCTGATGTAGTTCCGCGTCTCGTCCACTTGGTAGGACCCCTCGTCCCTGTTCCTGTACTTGTACATGGCGTACAGGAGGATCAAGATGCAGAGGGCAGCGGCAGCCACAATACCGACGACCATCCCTGTTGTACTGCTCGACTCCCGGATCACCTCTGAGGCCCCCGGAACCCGTCTGACTCCCGGCTCCGTGGGGTTTGCTGTGGGCACATTACGGAACATGGGGGAAGTAATTAGTGGGCTCTTCAGTTTGGTGCTGTCTAGCTCATAGGCAGTGGGCAACGGAAGCAAGACTATATCAGGCTGGGGTTTGAGATCACGGTTATTCATTTTGCCAGCTGGCAATTTGGGCACCATCCCAGACGAGGAAGCTGTGAAGCGGATCAGCTCAGGGGACAAAGATGTGGTAGTAGTCCTACTAGTTTCGGAGACTTTGTTAGGTCTAAAGTCCTTGGATTCCCACTTGGGCGCATGTGCTTTGTAGCCACCTTCGAAGATTGAAGTGGAAAGACTCTTATCTGTTACCAAGGAGAAGGTGGTGTAAAAATCTTCATCATCAGTAGGGGGCAGGTTAGAGTCAAAGGTTTCCCCTGAGCCATACCCAGATATCACCAAGCCATCATCATCACAACCATCGCTGCCTTGGTCCGACAAGCAAGGTAACCCCGCCTCAGAGGTCATGGACAGGGAATCTTTGGTGGTCTCAATAATGGTGAGGAGGGGGCGAAAGGTAGGGGGGAGTGTAATGGAAGGTGCACGAGTAGCAATAGGAGGGGTAGCTAAAGGGTCTTCTACAAGAAGAGGGACAACTAATTCACCTCCTGGGATTGAAAAGAAAAAGAAAAACACAATTAGTATATTTGTAGATAGACACAATTCATAGGCATTCTCAGGGACTGTATTTCATCAGTTAGGCATCAGAAATTATAATAAAATGACCTGGGCCCGCACATGGATCCTTTGTTGTAGCCTAACCATTCTAAACTGATTTAGAGCCCATTATATGCCTCTTGCCACCAAAATCTGAAACCTCCTAGCTTTTAAAGATACTCTCAAGTAATTATTTGGATAGAATTCAAGTAGGCTGTTTCCAGAATCTGCTTACAAAATAATGACCTTCCATGTTACTGTTGCAAAAACTGGCTATCAGAAGAGAGAGAGAGAGTGTGTGTGTGTGTGTGTGTATGCACTCATGCATGTGATTAATCCGTAAGCCCTAGCAATTCATTATTGCCTTCTTGGGTTTCTACTTACTTGCTCCCATGAGGATGAGCATGACATATTCTCCATGTCACAGAGATCAAGATCAGTGAACATAAAAGATTGTCTTTCGTCTTTTAAGCTAGTCTTTTATTTAACATTTATCAAGTTCAGTCTTCATTTACTATATGCTAAGTGAGGGGAACACAGGAGAGGTTAAACATGTTCATCTAACAAACCCTTTTTGATTATGCTTTTCCAGAAATTCCCCTATTAAATGACAACTCGCCTTGCACTGATCTCATGTTTATGCATTGCTTTTATGCTATATGTAATATATGCTGAGGTGGACACTAGATTTTAAAAATACTCAGACTAGATATCCATACCTTGTGGAAAACTTAGATTCAGACATGTAGAAATAACAAAGTTTTTAAAATCAGCGATTCTTGGGGCGCCTGGCGGGGGCTCAGTCAGTTAAGTGTCTGGCTTCAGCTCAGGTTATGATCTCAGGGTCCTGAGATTGAGCCCCCTGTTGGGCTCCCTGCTCAGCTCAGCAGGGAGTCTGCTTGTCCCTCTCCCTCCCCCTCTGCCCCTCCTTGTTCTCTCAAATAAATAAAATCTTAAAAAAAATTAAAATCAGCGATTCTTATCTAGAGTGGGAAAAATAAATTGGTTTACCCACAGACCCTAGTTATTGCACTTATAAACGTGGACTAGGTCAGGAAAGAAAGTTCAGAGTAATTCAGTAAATCATAGTGCCTTGCAAATCATGGGTACTACAAATATTCTGTGGTGGATGTTACTCACCTAATTGTTGGGCCACGTTTATTACTCACGTACGTAAGCGAGATAATCGAGGTCTCTTCTGTGTCTCTTTACCGTGTTATTTTTCAAACAGAGAAAGAATCTCCAGAAGTCACAGTTCATATCTCCTCACTGAATTTATTCCAAAAATGTATTTCAGCTGTTTTTTAAAAAAAATCCTCTAGCAGGAATGGCATGATGTTTTCCAGTCCCAGTTAGTCAGATAGTTGAGTTGGGAATATATTATTTCTGAGCTGGGTCATTAAGCACTCAGCCAGGTATGATCTTGTCTGTTCTGCCCTCCACAGTAACTGCCCGGATAGGATGGTCAGTGTTGGAACATCTATTATCAGATGTGACTCTCGCTGAGGTGCCCCTTATTGGTGACAAAGTCAGACATGTGACTCACTACTGCAGAGTTCTAGGTGGACAAGCCTTTGCGCTTACACGGTCTTTCAGGTTCTTCCTACAAAGACTGACTCACAAATGAGAATTCTCCTGCTCCTCTTTCCATACTTTATATCTTTTAGTTTCCTATGCCTCCTTTGGAACTGCTGCATCTAACCTGCCCATACTGCAGCTGGGGAGGAAGCCTGTTACATACCTTCAAAACACCCTTTGTACCTGTGTCAGAAGCTTCACTCCAGAATTAGCCAGTAACACTGTGTTATGCAGAGAGAAATGCAGTTGGGGAGGGTGGCAATAATGTACATAATGTATGTATATCATTTGGAAGACAACCAGTCATCTCTGTCCTACCTGATGTTACCATGTGTAGAGAAATAAAACGCGAACCTTTCTGAGAATTTCAAGATGATATTTTGGGCTATGCGCTAATCCCAAGCTTCTCTTCTAGTGCTCAAGAGTTTCAAACTGTTGAGTGAAACAATCTTTGCAGATTTGTCACAGCTTCAGACTTGCTTTACTGGACCAGCGTGACTTTTTTTTTTTTTTTTTAACATTGTGAACATATAGAATTCCTATATCTTGCAACATATTTAATGCATAATTTACAACTGTTGCTAGTTTTTAGAAATGGGATTTGGAGCACAGTTCCCTAAAGATAAGCCAGTCCTAAAACTAACCCTGAGTTTACTTTTCTCCTGGGGGGGAGGGGATGGCAAGTGTTAATAAATATTTAAGGTGACCCATGGAAAAAGGCAGTGTTTAAGGAAGAGAACAGCGATGAGAAGAGAGAAGGCCCATGCAATGTGTTTGAAGGTTCTCTAGAGATTACTCAGGGATGATTTTACTTTCCTTCAGAGAACAAGTCAGGATTTTTTTTTTTTTTTTTTTTTTTACCTGTCTCACCTAGAATAAAGGTTTAGCTTGTGTGTTCTTTTCTGGCACAAATACTGAGAGTCATCTGTTCCTTAGGACCATGATAAAAATCTGCTCCATGTATATTAAGCAGAGAGGAAACTGGGATAAAGGACAAGTAATAGCCAATCTGCTAAAAGGCAAAAGCCTGGTATAGAACACTTAAAGGCAAATTGTTAAGTAGGGTGCTGATGTCCCTTTAAGTGAATTAAGATCACTGCCTTCATGATTACATAGTGGCATTCATTTGCAATTTTAGTGTACTATCTGTGACACCCACTGGAGTCTTAAATTTGCTTCTCCCCCCCCCTTTTGCAATCCTAGCTAAAGCTTCTGCAGTTTCTTTGTTGTAAAAAGTCTACAAAATCCACAAACTGTTCACTCTGCAGTTGAATTGCCTCCCCCCCGCCACTTTCCTTTGCTATTCACTTCCCAATTCAACACCTTTTAATCTCTCTTGGATTAAAAAAAAAAAGAGTAGAAACCATTTTCATAATGAAGAGAGTCCTAAAGCTTTCCAATTTATAAAGAGCTTCTAAAAGGTTGGTGAGCCCCTAAGTGACATTAAGAGCTTATTTCAAAACTAAAATGATGGGTATGCTATTTCAGAGTTTAAATAATTTGTCCAAATTACTAATCTTCAGTTTTCTTTGCCATTTTTGTTATTAATCCTGGCAGCAGTGATAAAAAAAATGATAAATGATGCCCCCTGTCAGAGAAAAGTGAGCCCCAATTCTGGTGATAGGTTCATCAATGAAAAGGGAGAAAAGCTTTCATAATCCACCCCCTTTCCTGGCATCTTAAGAAATTGAAGAATGTCTTCAGTTTAAAAGGAAGTCAACTGGGCTGTGGGAATTGTTATGAATGGGAATTACAGTGAAAATGAGATGGAAAATTCTAGAGACCTGTAAATGTGCAAGCTGCCTAGGACAGGTGTGGGAGTTGGTGTGTATAATCAATTTTAATATCCAATTCCATCTCTAAGATTTAGGATGATTATAGTGTCCTGGGAAGTCCAAGGCGTACATCCTTTGAGATGAGGAGATGAAGGATACATTTCTCCCATGATTAGATCCTTAAGAGAAATAACTTAGATTGTAGAAAGCTACTTAAGATTTTATGTTTATTTGTTTTAATCCAAAGTGATTACCTCAGAAATGCTGGAGCAGCTGATACTTTTTTCAATGCCCAAAGACTATGGAGTCAGGAATCTACCAGATGTCTGTGCTTATAAAAGTATTCACAGAAGTAACAAGCCTAAAATCATAGGGGGTTACAGGCAGAAACCTTGCAGGCCATCAACACCCTAATTTCTTATTCCATCCCCAGAATTTTTCTTTGGCTTGGAATAAGAACTATATTCCTTAACGTTAGCATTTTAAATCAGGAATATATACCCGTTTTTGACAGGGTTGTGCTTTTCTTTAAACTAGAGAGATCACTAGGGATATAAAAGGTCTATTTTAGCCCTGAAGGCTGCCCTGCTTTTTTGCTTTATGAGTATATTTATAGATATATAATTCATGTGTCTAGGGCTGATATCCAGCAAAAGGGGCTCTCTGCCATCGAAAAAGACAGTGTATTAAAAATTTAATAGAACTCTCCTGAACTGTGAGAATGTTGCAGGTGATGGTGAATGTAGTGGGTCATCTGAAAAAAACAAGAGCAGCACGAAATTTCAATGTGGCTCCAACCTTTGCCTCTCTGGAGATATTTGAGCCTAAGAAGTCACAAAAATACCAAAACAATGACACCAAAGAGCCAGACTGAGAGAGGACACTATGCTCCAGTTCCTTGAATTTCTTTTATGTCTATTTAGGTTCTTTACTTCACCTCTTATTTGCATTTTTTCTAATTCTCTGCTGAGAAAGTCATATAATAAAGAAAAATCATCCTTTTCCCCACTAAATTAGTTGTTGAATACATTCATTTAGTTATTTGGTACCAAAGCAGCATGTACACGTAGCACATAAATATCCCGAAGCTTGCAATTCCCCTCTACCTTCAGAAAAAATAGCCATGGACAAACATGGCAAGAAGGCTCCAGAAAAACTCAAGTGTCTCAAAGGGGCTTCACTTACATTTTAATAAGATGAGAATCTCTAAGTAGGATATTTTCCCCCTAGTTTGTCTGAAATGGATTTGATTCTGAAAGGCTACAGATGCTATTTTTCAACATATGCCCAAGTAAGATGAGACAAAGCCCCTGGATTTCATTCTATGTTGTAAAATAAGGAATGTCAAGTGGAGTTTTTCATTTGCCTATTAAGAGCTTTGCCTCTGGAGTCACTCATACTCAGGTTAGCAGCTCAGCTCTGTGGCTTACTAGCCATGAATGTGGTGAAAGTTCTTAAACTCTCTGAAAAATGGAAGTAATAACACAGTCTATCTCAAACCGCCACTGTGAATAATAATAATGCATGTTAATGTTAATTATAATGCATATTAAGTATTTAGCACAGAACCCACTGTTACTCCAAAATGCTAGTTACTAGTATTATTTCTACTAACATTTTGGGCCTGTAAACACTGAAACCATTGATTAAATTCTTCTGACCATTTTTTTTTTTTAACATAGTAGCCTCATGCTAAGGTACAAGTGTAATAATATAGGATCTAGATTATTGAGGTTATTTTAAATGCAGACTTGGAAGAATGATTTATAAGAATTCAAAGAGCTTATATTTAAAAAAAATGATTAACCTTTTATTAAGTTGACCTATTGATAGCTTCCTCAACAAAAATAAATTCTATTAGACAAAATAACACCCCATTTAGGAAGTTCTTGGTTTTAAACCCAAAATATCTAGCACATGAAACAATATAAAATCATATGAACTAAGAGAAAGCCCATTAATTAAAGCTGCTGGGATAGAAACCTATCTGTTAACCACCATATGGTCTGATAGTTCTATAATAGTTTCTGATATACCTGAAATTAAAGTGAAACAAGTAACCTCTTTAAAAATTGTATAGCACTTCTTACTGCTCTTATGTTCCTAAAGTGCATAAGGCAACATTAACCCAAATACCTTCAAGGTCAAGGGGTATTCTCACCCCTAAGGTCACACAAAATGGCAGTACCTACCTACCTGAAAGGTTTCCTAAATAAAACTTTAGATGTGAAAATCATCATGTTTCTTCTTGGTAGAATCCTTTTAAAGTTTACCTGATTAAATCCAGGAGAGAAATAGCAACTATTAATAAAAAGGGAAAAGGGGAGGGGGGAGCAGAGAGAGATTGAGAGAAAGAGAAGCAGGGAGGGAGGGAGAAAGGCAGAGAGACTGAGAGAGAGGCAGGGAGGGAGGGAGAAGGAGGAAGAGGGAGAAGGTGAGAGGTAGGAAGGGAGGCAGGAAAGGAGGGAGAGGAAGAGAGAGGCAGGGAGGGAGAGAGAGGCGGGGGGGTAGATAATTGAGTACCTTCTGTGTATATATGTGTGCTTTCACCAGTAAGTTCTATACATTCAAAGGCATATTACAGGACAATACTCTATATAAACACCTGGGATTCTCGATGCCTTTATTCTCAAGAAAATGGGTTCTGTATTCTGCAGTGATGGTGGTGGTGTAATCCTGGATAATCAAACTCTACCATAGTCACTTGAGAGTATCTTAATGTCCCTCTGCTGAAGGAAAATACAATAAAGGACTGATTTCCCTAAATGCTTTCTAAGGAGTTAAATGAGGATGTATTACCACTGATAATACTTGGAGTTAACTCATTTTCTTCTGGGGGTCCAGGCCTCCCGTAGGCTGTAACCAATTTAATATCCCACTGTAAAGCCTACCATTACTTTTAAGGCTTTAAGGTTGGTTCAGGCAAAGAGGCTAGGCTTTCTTTGGATGCTAAGAACTCACCCACCCCCTTCTACCAACAGTAGAGTTCACATTGATCATTAGAAGCAATTCAGCACAGAACATAACAGTGAAAATTAAGCAGAGAGACACAAATGAAATAAAATATTTAGTACTGTCTTCAAATCATATAGTAGAAAATAAAACCAACATCAGGGCCAAAGTAAGCTAGAGGAAAGGAGAGCAAATAACATCGACACGGCATTCACAGTATAATGACAGGAAAAATAAAAGTAAAAGCAAATAAAAAATAGAGGCTGTTTTTGGAAAACAAAAAAAGAAATCATTTCCATAAAATAACTTAAGTGAAAAAAGCATACCGTATTAATTTATAGTCAACTTACATCAACAAATTGCCCGCATGTTTTTTGGCATGAAAGAAAAATTTACAAAAGAAAGTTGTGTAAGAATGCTCTTGGACAAATAGAATTGCCACATTCTTGTAACTTGCTTTTTTGTTGTCATTTCTTAAAAAACTTTTGAGCAAAATGTCTAATTTTTCAAATATAATAATTTACAACAGAGGATGATACAGGGAGGCAACAACACATACATCCACACCACATAACATGAAAAGAAAAAAAAAATCTGCACTTTAACAAAGTTTTACTTTGAGGGGCTTGGGAGGGCATCGATTTTGAATTTGAAATAATTCCGATTGCGAGGATTTAAAAAATTTAAAAAAAACCTGTTTACTTTTATAATTTGCCTTTTAAAAAAATCTATGAATCTGGAGGGTTTTGAATGAACTTCTGCACTGATATAGGTTCTCAGATATATATTTAATTTTTAAATATTTTTGTCTTTTTGACAAGTTTTAGATTTCTTTAAGGGGATGGATGACAGCACATAAATTTGAACAATGCTAAAGAAAGGGGGTATGGGAAGGAAAGATGCAGAGGGGAGGGTCATATTTATGAATGTACTACACAAGAGATGAAGATGATGGGGGTGAATGTGTAAGTGAGTCGCCATGTCCATGTAAGGGCGGCACGGAGTGATCTAGCTGCATTAGAGCTTCTGGCTGTAAGGAAGGGATGGGCAATATACAAAAACAAATGAGCCTACACATGCCCATCTACAGAAATAAAGAACAGAACTCTAACACAATCTCACACACCCTAAGCTGCAACTTCTTCAACATGCAATTACTCCAAAAATCATTACAGTTTCATTAAAGAGTTTCAAATAATAAAAACAGTTAAACTTTTTTCCTACTAAACGTAGTCAAAATACATAAAATAATACTAATAATAATGATTAAAAGATTAAAAGCAAAAACAAGGAGACTAGATTTATGCATTCAAGTTGAACAACTTCACCGGCAGCCACACAGCCCCATCTAGAGTTAGGGGAGGAGGTTAGAGACTTGCAGAGGTGATGGAAAAGGCAAGCCTGTATAGGGAGCCCACTTGCTGGGTTACTAATCACTTCCCTAGAAAGAAATGGTTCTGTCTGAATGATGTCATCCATCTTCCCCCTGTCACCCATGGTACATGGGATTCCCAAAGAGAAGGTGCTAATTCCAGAGATGTGGATGTGGAGATTCTGCAGCTGAAGTTGTTCCACATTTAAAGAGGGAGTGGGGAAAAATTGCAGAAAACAATTCATAACTTTTTTCTCATAATTTTGGATAAAGCCAAGTTAAAGATCTAGCAATTAAAAGAAACATATTGATATATATATATATAGATAGATATAGATAGATACAATACAAAAAGTACTTAATTCCCAAACGAAAAGGGAGGAAAGAACCAAAAAAAAAGTTTTAAAGAAAAAAGTATTCCACACACTTTCAGAGATGAACAACCAGATGCACACGCTGAGGAGGCACAGACAGAGCAATCAGGGGACACTTTTTTTTTTGCTTTTTGTTTTCTGGCTTATTGATTCCCCTTTTGGTGATAGCCAAAGTTAAAAACAAATTTTGCATTTTCTTTAAAAATTTGCATTTTCTTAATTTTTTTCTTTTTGGTTTTGCTTCTCTAAAAAAAATAAAAAGGGCGTGCAGTCTGGATGTACGTCATAAGTAGACATTTGAAAGAGAAGAAAGTGGCTAAGACTGACAAATGGGTAATCTTCTATTATCCTTTAACTGTAGGAATGGTAATCAAATTAATACATGCTTAAAGTAAGTTGCATTTAGGGAAAAGAGAAAACCAGAACAGCAAGCTAGGGTTGGGGAGAGGTCAGCAAGACAAAACTGATTTGGGGTGAGAGGAAGGTACTGGACTTAGTTTCATGCCTTTCCAGTAGGGGCAAAGGGCATCCCAAGGCTTCCTGCCGATGACAACAAGGAAAGGATATGCACATGTATATGCATGTTGAGGGCTGAAGTAGAGTCTACAGTGGCAGGAACTGAGGTAAACATATATATGAGTTCGTGGGTTCTGCTCTAGAAAACTGATCCCATATTCATTCACAGACTTAGAAGACATATTTTGTAAGTCAGAGAGAGGTTTTAATTGCATTGTTCCTTATGAGTTTTCTGGGGTTTTGCCAAATTGACAGGGTACCATAAGTGACAATAAGGTGTCCATAAAATAAGCCTGATAAATGGAATAGCATATAGATTGATAGAGATATATATTAGTAACAGGGGCAAACCCCCTCTCGACTCCAAAGAACACAGTTGCACAGTGTCAATTTCTGTAAAGTACAGGATAGTCAAGAAATGAGCATGGTTTATTCCCAGTACACTGGGGGAAACTATACCAGTCTTCTAGAGATCATGTGGGAAACAAATGTTCCATCCAATCTATATTGAGAAAAATGGAAAAGAGAGAGGAAGAGGAGGAGAGTGAGTGGCAAGGGGAGAAGGGGGAGTGTGTGAGTGTGTGTGCGTGTGTTTTTTTTGTTTTTTGTTTTAGAAATGGCCTCAGCCTCTACTGGAAGAGATCTCAAGAGTTATATTCAATATTATATCCTTGTGGGAACATTAATGTCCAGCCAAGGACTTGGAAACCCAGGTAGGCAAACCACAAAGGTAAGACACTTGAGAGCACTGGTTCTGACACAATCCTAGTCACTCCTAAGAACTTTTCTGGGTGACTTTGACAAAAAGGAATAAATTGTGAGGATGAGTCAGACTTTGGCCCCCTTTGGGACGCCCCTTTTATTATTTTATTTTAAAATAATTATAGTAATGTGTCCCCATGGGTCAGTCCGTACCAAGATTTTTAGTCTCTGGTTTAATAATGTTAATCATTATTGTAGGAACTTCACAAAGGGCAGCTGGGAGGTTTTAGAAGGAGGTAAAAAATCCCAATCATATAGGAAAAGAAAAACCCTTGTTGCCACTGATTTTTTTGAATAATTATACTTTTAACACTGAATTGTATGGCATGAGAAGACCCTACAAATACTCATGTGGCCTCACAAGGCATCAAATGACTTCTACAGAATGAAGTTAGTTTTGATAATACTCAAATGGGCTGTTTTTTGTTTCACAGGCAATTTTTTAAAATAAGAAACATAACGGGCCTAAGTATGAAACTTAAAGAAATAGATACTTCCAGTATACACATACTCCTGGATAATAAGAGGTATTAAGAGGTGTTGAGGAGACCCATCAATTTGGGTCTCCTAGTTTTTTACTGAGTAATTTACCTATTTCAAAATAGCCTGTTTTAAAACTCATACAAGTATGACACATCATTTACATTCTGGAAATCACTGGTTGAAACAATCAAACATAGCAAAATTTATGGTTGTCACTTTGCAAATAAAATATGTATTTTTTAAACCCATGGAAGCCATAGTTTCAATGAAGCCGACACAGACTAAATATAGTGCATAGACATTTTTATGTCAGCCATCAGTTACCTACACAAACTTGTTTGATTTCTAATGTAAGATACAAAGTAATATTGCTAGTAGTTCATAATCATGTCCCAGCTTTATTTTAATCTTCATCAGCTATCTGTGTTAGGTTTTATTATCAGTAACTACACAGTTCTCTACCTATGCCTCTACTTGGTGGGTGTTCAGAATGATTTAGAATTATGCCTGCCATCGAGAACAAATAATACAATAATTTGACCTGAAACAGCATATCTTGATGCAGCCATTTTTTTTTTATCCCACTATGTCCAAATAACCCTGTCTCAATGTAAAGTCAAACTTTTAAAAACATCAAATGCAGTAAGATGGAATTACACTGGTCAGAATTCATCTTGAGGAGTGTGCTTGTTTCAAAGACAAGTATGTTTCTAAACTGCTTGGAGTTGTGCTTGACACACCCAAAGGCATACTGAAGTAATTCAAGCTGCAGACTTGCCTCTTTGGGAGAGTGGATCCTACTTGCTAAGGGACATTGTTTTCAATGTGTACAGGTGAGGTCCAAGAGGAAGGCCTGAATGAACTACTTTGTATAACTGCAAATATTTTAAATTTCTGAGGGAAAATAGTGGAAAGAGGAAGGAAGAGGAAACCTTTGTGGGACTCTGACTGCAATTCCAGGGAAAGAGTTAAACCATTCCAAGTAGGGTGGGCTAAAAGAGAAGTCTGGAGAACAAATACCTACTGAGGATTTTCAAGGTTTTTGAGTTAGACCTATGAGGTAAATCTCCTCATCTGTCCCTCCTATGACAGATACAAAAACATTTTGCTAGTTGCTTTTCTATGTGTCCATGGGAAGAAGGTAGGGATTCTTCTGGGAGAACCGGAGAACCATTGGTTCAGTTCTGAATCATGGTTTTGCCAAGAATAAAAATGGAGGCTCTAAGAATGGATATGGAGTCCAGGAATGTGGGAATGGCTGTCATCTGTGTTACAAAATGATCCCTGTATATACTATGACTTCTCACAAGGTCTTCCTCAGACATAAGTAATGCTCAGAGAAGGGGTGAATAAACCTGCTTCATACATGGTATTTGTTTCTAAATAAAAAGTTTAATATTTTCTTTTTAATGGTGAAAAAAATGCCCCAAGTAAGAAGTTCATGTACTATCCATTCCCAAACTCAGTTTCTACACATCATTATAGTAGATAGGGGGAGAGACAGATAAATTAAGCTTCCAAGATGGACAATAGTCCAGGACACCATCAAGCCCAATATTCAGAACTGTATTTCTGTATTAATGATTTGCTTGCCCAGTTTAGAGTAATTTTTCTTACTTAAGTGGATAAGAATAGATACAACATTACAATGGGTAGCATTACATTTTAAAACTGGTAAGATAGAACATTTATTGTGGAAGGACCCTAAATTAATGACTTATTTCCCTATATTCACATAATCCTTAACTTGTGCCTTAATTCAGTCCCACCATCTCCATTCTTGTTTGTGAACCTACTGTGCCCTGCACAGATTTCTGCTGACTCCAACACTCCATTGCACTCAATTTGTTTTCTTCTAGGTCTCAACTTGACTATAAGAACTTTAGTACAAACATGGAGTCTTTTTTATCTTTGTCTACCAACTAGAATACTAGTAACCAAGCAAGCATTTCTGGACTTAACTAATGAATGAATAAATTAGTTAATATGTTTAATTGCTCATTTTTTTTTTACCCCCACACTAGGCTATGGCTTCCATAAAGGCATTAAAATCATGCATCACCACCATGGCTTGCCTTGTGCCTGGAATATGGGATACAAATGTTAGGGTCAGGAGACCTAAGACCTTGGATGTAGTGCGCACTATACTAGCTTGTTAAGAAACTAAACAAGTCAGTTAACCTCCCTGAGTTAGTGTCCTCATGTATAATATGGAGATTATGATGTCTGGTCAATTAACCCACCTCACAGGATAGATTTATATGACTAATGAGATTTCAAATGTGAAAATGCTTATAAATTCTAAAGGGCTTTCCAGATGTTTGTCACTATTGTTTTCAAAGCTGACACCATAGCATCAGCTGTAAAATTAGGGTTTCATATTCAGCAAAGGAGGCTGAGTCCCAGACAGTTGAGGTCAGTGCTACTCCAAGTATGATCCTTGGAGCATCTACTTCAGCATCAAACAAATAACCTCAATCCAAAACCCTAACCCAAATACCTATTATTACTACTTCTGTTGAA